CCCCTACATACGCGGGACAGAGTGAAGTCTCCTCAATGCATTCCCCCGACCTCTCCTTCTCGCTCCGAGTCCCTCTCCGCTGCGGGTAGACGTGTGTTGACAGGAGCAAAAGCCGCCTCGCCCGTCTCCTCCTGCTGCCGCCTACGTCCCGCAACCTGGCTTAGTGTTGTCCATGAAGTCGTAGTGGAAAGAAGCGACCGCGGCGGGGTCATCGTACTCCGTAATGTCGTGAGTGAAATAACTGTCACCACCACTCCTACGCCCGGTGTGGTTGTAATAATGAATGTACTACCTGACTCGGTGGTGGACGTGGACGTAGACGTGGACTTGGGTGGTGTAAGTGTAGGATGAGGTTGACCGGGCGACAAGATGTCTAGGACATTGTAGATGCTTTGTAAGGCTGGTGAGATAGACCGCGGAGATATGGGCGATGGCTTCGTTGCGAGTGTTGTCGCCGAGCTTCCGCTTTGTGATAGAGCGACAGCGAGGATGGGTAGCCAGAGGGCGAACAGCAGGCTTGTGATGTGCATGTTGGTAGTGGTGCGCTGTCTGTGATGCGTGGACGCGACGTGGTTGAAGTAGATAAGTGACTAAGTAGGCCGGTGGTGGGGGTCGTGACTGAATGAGTGGGCGAGTGGATTCGTGGAAGTGAAGGGGAAGTAATCAGAGAGTGACTGGCAAACGGGCGAGTGGGTCGTGAGTCGATTTGGTATCAAGGCTAATTCATGATATTTACGCCACACAAGTCGCATTTGTGAGAAGTACTCTGAGCAACGTAATCGTGTGGCGGATACTGAAAGGCGCGTGCGGCGGTGCGGTATTGACGGGCGACAGACACGATCAAACAAAGACCTGGACGGTTCCGCAAAGGGTCTTGAGGGACATATCACGAGAGGAATATCGCGAGAATGTGAGAATACTTGCTTTGTCATTTCTGATCAGCGATGTGGTGGTTTCATTCCTGAATATACTTCTTAAGACTCCTCAGCCTCTCCATGGCCTGCTCCAGTACGTCATCGTTCTTGCACACGGCGAACCGTAGCCAATCTTCCACGATGTGCGCGTTTCCTGGGGTGAAGAATTCAGTTGGAGGAATAGCCGCTACACCAACTTCCTTGATCAGGAACCAACTGAGCTGGAAATCCCTGGGTCTCTCCGCAACGTGAGGAGGGAACTCATAGTCACTTGGCAACTTGACCTTGGACATGTTTACCAAAACAAAGTACCCGCCTTCCGGATCCGAGTAGGGTAGCCCAAGCTCATTGAAGACAGCGGTGAACTTGTCGATCTTAGCCTTCATCTCTTTCTTCGACTCGTCCCAGAAGTTGTGGGCATCAGCTTGCTCGAACCCAATCGCAGTGGCTTCTTGAAGCGGCGAGACACTGCTGTAGCAGATTCGTGTGTGGGCTGCACTGACGTACTTGATCAGATGCTCGGGTCCGATCAGCCAGCCTACTCTCCAACCGGTGGCGTAGAAGTTCTTTCCTCCTGAACCGACTGTCAACGTGAGCTTGGCGATCTCTGGTGACAGAGTGGCGACGCGAGTAAAAGGGACGTAGTATAGACGGTCGTAAACCTCGTCCGAGAGGATGATGATGTTGTGCTTGACGCACAGGTCGCCAATGGCTTGCAGCTCATTCTTGGAAAAGACCTTGCCAATTGGGTTGTGCGGAGAGTTGATAACGATCATGCGCGTCTTGGGTGTGATGGCAGCCTCCAGCTCCTTCATATCCAGACTCCATTCGGCTGCAGAAGTAGTCTTGGTCGCGCCGTCTTTGGGAGGATGCAGCGGCACGTAGACGACCTTCCCGCCCGGCATCTCGATGTTGCTAATGTACTGGTCGAAGAAGGGCTCGAAGACGATGACCTCGTCTCCCTCCTCCAAGAAGCCCATGAAAGCGCTGAGCATGCCCTCATTTGCGCCTGTGGTGATTGTGACTTCCTTGTCGGGATCTATCGTGCGACCGAAGAAGGGCGAGTAGGCATCGGCAATGGCCTTCTTTAACCGCGGGCGGCCTTTGGTGGGCGAGTACTGGTTGCAGTCTACTTGGTCGAGCGCAGCCTTGGCGGCATCGAGGACGAACTTGGGAGGGTTGTAGCCAAAGAAGCCCTGGCCCATGTTGACGATGGGCTGCACTGGCGAGGCTGCGGCGGCTTCATTGACAATGGACCTGCCATTATTAGCATTTGTACAACGTTGAGGCTTTTTGACCTACCAGACATCCTGCTTCTGGCCCGCAACTCTCTTCGCGGGCTTGAAGGGGTCTTCCCTTCGTGTTGTCGCTGACATGGCGCGGAGAGGGGGACAGCTGGTGGGGCACCTTGGAGCTGCGGATGGTCTCTTGGTTGAGGTTCGGATGGATCTGAGAGCCGGAGTCACGATGCTTCGCATGGCAATGGCATTGGAAGATGAGTAAACCCAGAAGAGTCACCAACTGCAGCGTCTAGCATTGCGTGCTCCCGTCCGTCGTCTGCCGTCCGTCGTCTGCCGTCATCAAGCGGGGACAAATCCGAGATAGCGCCGGCCTCGCTCGTCGCGTTACCCCAGAATAATTCGCGTCGCGTGCGCCGAGCCACTCATCTTCGACATGGTCGACTGCCCCATCTGCACTAAAGCCGTCAAAGACGCCCGAATCAACGAACACATCGACAGCGGCTGCGAGGATTTCCTGCTCGAGCCAGAACCACAGGGCACGCCGAACCTGGGAAAGGCGTATAGCTTCTTTACGCCGGGCGCACGCAAACCTCCGGGCGCGACACAGAAGAATGGACACCCAACATCGTCACCACCAGCACAGCCAGCACCGCCAACAGCAACGCAACGGATAGAGATATCAAAGACACCTCCGCCAGGTACAAAACGGCCTCTCGAAGAAGCATCGGATACACAGGCCAATGGCGAGCAGCAATCACCATCTGCCCCGAAACGGGCGCGGAAGCTCAAGGCTGTCGAAGATGCCATGCCACTGGCGGAGCGCATGAGGCCAATGTCATTGGACGATGTATATGGTCAAGAGCTGGTGGGGCCAGGCGGCGTCCTTCGAGGCATGGTCGATGAAGGCAGACTACCGTCAATGGTACTCTGGGGAAGACCTGGAACAGGTAACACTTGCTTTGTGTCCTTCACGCTCCAATTGGAAGCTAACTCCGTCTCCAGGCAAAACCACGATCGCCCGTCTAATCGCCAACACATCCGGCTCACGCTTCGTCGAGATCAACAGCACAAGCACAAAGTTGGAGGAAGTGCGCAAGATATTCGCAGAGGCCTTTAGAGACCTACAGCTGACAGGTCGAAAGACCATTGTCTTCTGCGACGAGCTACATCGCTTCTCAAAGACACAACAAGACGCCTTCCTTGGGCCTGTAGAGTCAGGCACCATAACCCTCATAGCTGCAACAACCGAGAACCCATCATTTAAGGTCATCTCAGCTTTGCTGTCAAGATGTCGAACCTTTACGCTTGACGACCTCAAAGAAGACCACTTGGTACGAATACTCGAGCGCGCCATGGCCGTAGACAACGTCACATCCCCCATCCTAGACAAGCCGATGCTGGAATACTTCGCCCGCTTCTCTGACGGCGACGCCAGAACAGCCCTGAATCTTCTCGAACTCGCCATGAGCCTTGCGAAGCAGCCTGACATGACCAAAGAAAAGATACAACAGAGTCTCACCAAAACCCTTGTTTACGACCGCGCTGGCGACCAGCACTACGATACCATATCCGCACTGCACAAGTCAATACGAGGCTCCGATCCCGACGCGGCGTTATACTACTTAGCACGCATGCTCGAGTCGGGCGAGGACCCACGATACATAGCCCGTCGGCTCATCGTCGTCGCATCCGAAGACGTTGGACTGGCAGACAACTCGATGCTGTCCCTTGCGACAGCCACATACTCCGCCTGTGAGAAGATTGGCATGCCAGAATGTCGCATCAACCTCGCCCACGCCGTCACCGCGCTTTCCCTCTCTCCAAAATCGACGCGCGCATACCGGGGGATGAACAACGCCTATGATGCGTTGAGGGAGCCAGGCGTCGCAGCACTGCCTATACCACATCACATACGCAACGCGCCAACCAAGTTGATGAAGGATATGGGTTATGGAGAGGGATACAAATACAACCCACATTACCTAGACGGCAAAGTGAAACAGGAGTACCTACCCGAAGCACTCCGTGGTCGTTCGTTTTTGGAAGACACCGATCTAGGAAGCAAAGTCGACCCAGATCTCGTCGATGACGACGAGCTGATGCCGGAGATCGACTGAGCGGAGCTTTGGATATAGTAGCGGGCAAGAGTTGACTGCATACTTGACATTGTTTGGCGTCTTGCATAGCGAATACGATACCCATTACGCACTTTACTTCATACGAACTACACGCCGACAGTTCCAGTGCTCGTTGATGAATCAGCAAATCCCGTCTTGCCAAAGTGATAAGCTGATCAAACCACGTTTCGTGTGACTAGGAAGCGGAAGGCGTTTGCTGACAGGATCAGCCATGCGTCACTGCCGCCTTGTGATACGCCCATATCATGGCCCCAAGCACAGTTTCTTTCACTGTTTACTGCATCCTCTGCATCTTACGACACCACTATCTTCCAGGCATTGAACCTGAACACGGCTTGCGGGAATCTGCCGTTTCCTTTCTCTAACCAGACTGTTTGCGCAGTGCGTCAACTGAAAATGGACACTACCACCATTGGCATTATTGTTTTCTTTCTTATGAGCTCGTACTTCGGGCATCTCCTGTTGCATCGTGTTATCAAGACACCAGCGCAGTATCAGAGACCGGAGGTAGATATGATAAAGACATAGCTTGGAATGTGGTAAAACAAGAGAACATCATTGGAGTTCGGACGTGAACGGTAAGACCGTTTATTTACATCATGAATCACTATCATATCATACATACTTACAGGCCCCAGGACGACTATGCCATTCAGCGCACAATTCCACAGTCCCTTCAGCCAACCTTCACATCAATCCACCTACCCCTACTTCCTCTTCTTCGCCTTCGCCTTTGTCTTCACGCCACCACCGCTACCTCTCTTCTTCGCAGGCGTCTTCACAGTTACCGCTCCAACACCCGCATCCTTGTTGTTCTCCATCTCTTTCGTACACATGGCACAATACCATTCTTTATTCTTCGGAATCGCCTTGGAGATGCCGATGCAACGACCATGATACCACCCTATCGGACAAGCGTCGTTATCGCAGCCGATCATTAGACTGCCGTCGTCATGGCCGCGACAAGTGCAGTGAAGGGTTTTATCGACTGGTTCTTGGACTGGAGCTTTGCCTTTGCCTTTGGATTTAGCTGGCGTTTTGGGCTTAGCTGGGGGCTTGGGTTGAACTGGAGCCTTTGGTTTAGGCTGAGGCTTGGGCTTGATTTCGACCTTGGCTTGCTCTTCTTTCATATCCTTGGCAGCTTGACTTTCAACTTTGATTCGAGCAGACTGGCGGCGTGTGCCGGGAGCAGCTTCTGGTTCGGAGGTTGTGGAAGCGGGTATGTTTGATGCGACTTGTGGTGTAGCTTGGCGTACGACTGCAGTAATGGCAGGAGCAGTAATCGGCTGAGGAGATGGCGGTGCAGACGACTCCACATTCTCGGGCGCGGGTGGAAGGTCGGCAGGTACCGTCGACTCTACACCGCTCAGCTCAAGATACAACTCTTCTTCCCGTATAAACCTACCCTGTGCATCCCTCCTCCCCTCTTCAATCTTGTACCGTCGAAGAACTTCTCCCTCCTCCCCTACCATCTCAATCCGCCTCTCAGACACCTTGACTCCACTGGAGCTGCCAATGTACGCCGCCGCCGACTTCTTCATGGCGTGTTTGGCTTCACCTAGACTACCAAAAGTGACGACCAGGGAGCGCTCTGCTCCCTCTTCCTCGTCGTAGTTATGATTGAGATACTCAACACACAGACCATACTGCACTGGCAAAGCTTCCAGCTCGCTCGCACGGGTCCACAGTTTCACGCCGTCCGCGTCTTCACCTGCGGAGAAGACTATGTCCATCTCGTAGCGTAGAACGACATGGTTCTTACTATCCAGGATCTCGTAGAGGCGGTTGGTGCTGAGCTCCTTTGTCGCACCCCATTGGACGTTCGCTTCGATTGCTTGGGTAGCGTGGTCACGCATGGCCTTTTGGGTGGTCTCGAAGACGGGGGATGCGCTGAGGAGCTGGTGACTGGCAGTCTTCGGGTCTTCGAGGAGATCGTGCGAGTACACGGCGTAGCGCTTTGTAGAGCATAGGGTCTCATCGGTGGACAGTCTCTGTGAGTCCAGTCGCGGTCTCTTTGGAGACTCCCGAGGAGGAGGGGAGGGGTCGGCTGATGGCTTCCGCTTCAGAGAGCTCGGTGTAGCCGGAGGTAGAGTCATGCTGGACGGGATGGTGTCTGTCTGGAAGATGGGCGGTGGAGCTGTTTCTGACGACATTGTCGCGCCGATCGAGCAGCAGCGAGTTGCGGATCAATTGGTCGCAGTATAGTGGAACATCCCAGGTTAACGGTCACTGTGTCGTAGAGAGCAATCGGGCAAGATGGGAGCCTAACGGTGATATCGCGAATGTCCGTGCTTTTGTTTTTGCTAGCGGGAAATGCTCCTTTGATGCCGTCGCAGTGAAAGAGGAGAGCAAGCGGCAGGCAGCCATAGCTTATCCCAACTGCTCGTCCGCGACGTAGAGACGCGGAGACGCGGAGGAGTCGAAGTAGCAAGTGTCGCCACGCGATAATGCAAATTTAGTGTTTAGCATTTATATCTCTGACTGTAAGCTGCCTTGGGTATCACTAAAATAATTTTCCAAATTTGATGAGTATCCCGCCTACCCATCTAATCACACATCAGGCTGGAACTGATATTGGTACATAATCCATTGGTCGAGGCGTCGGGGTCGGCCAATGGATTGTGTACCAATATCAGTTCCAGTCTTATGTGTGATCAGATCGGTAGGCGGATTTAGTGTAAACTAGCAGAAAAAGACGCCAAACCAATGCATGCTTTGTAGTTCCTCAGGCCCTGACTGCTACTTCGGCAGCTTTCACGTGATCTACCGTAGTTCGTCCCAAACCCTCTTTGGCGTAAAAGTCCATAGGATAGAGGTTCTTTCTGTCCTTGGCCTCGACTCTCCTCACTGTGTCGTCTTCCTCCAACCATGGCGCATCTCTTACTCCAAGGGTAACAAGCGCCTCATAAGGACTAAGCAATGGCCTGGGAAATGCGTAACCCCAGTCAATGCTCAATCTAGGACATGCGATCTGTACCCAAGCCTCTACATCGGACATCATTGCCAGTTTACCAGGGAAGATCTCGGACATGAGCAGATTTACACATTTGATGCCTTGGCGCGCCAGCTCGTTCTCGATGAGCGTAAGTGTGTGTGGATTTCCTTGCCGTCCTAGTGAACCGAGGATAACGCCCCATGTACGAGCTTTCCGAGCTGTAAGAATAGCGGTGCGGCGTAAGTCGTATAGTGAGTCATGTTCATAGGTCTCGTGTGTAAGCCGCCGTGAGTATGGGTCATAGCGGTATGCAGGTATGTGTGGATTGGCGATCATAGCGCTCTCGAGGTGGAAGCGTCCGTCGCCAAGATATAGTATCATGTCTGGTACTTCCTCCTCTTTGCCTCGCGCATTGAGCTGGCCTGGCTTAATGGCCATCGACGGTGATGTGCAGCCCAGAATCTCGCCCTTGGATAGAGGCGCGATCTGTGGCACAAACGGGTCGTACCCTTCCTTCCGTAGTATCGGCACAATGCCATGTATTGTAGCGTTGAACTGAATGGTGCCAACTAACGCGATGGTCTTTCCCACGGGGAAATTCTCGGTGATGGTGTTGATCAGATGTTGGGTATCGATACTGATGGAGACGAAGATGTACAGTGTTGCGATCTTCGTTACAGCTACCGGTATCAGACAGCTGTGCGCGTAGTGTATGAGCAGATCGCATCCCAACGCTCTTGCAGTGTAATCGTCTATGCAGCAGGCGCCGTATGTGACATCACCCATTATCAGCGTCGAAGTACCGGGACAGAATCGCGTCAGGATATCGGATATAGTCGTCGCGAACAGCAGCAGGCCCTCGGGGAACTGCAGGGCTATCGACTTGGCGCCGGATGTCCGTATGCGATGTATACATTTGTGGATCTCGAAGCTGTAGTTTGGAGGCAGGAGGGCGATGGCGTCGTTGATCTCCTGGTCGTGGAGGATGTCGTCGGGGATGGCGTTCAAGACACGAGCAGTACGTCGAGGCTGGGCAACTTGGATGACTGTTAGCTAGATGTATTAATAAGCATCTGTGTATGGGCTCCTCACACCTTGTATCGCGCTGGAATCCTCAATGTTGGCATTGGGATCCGCTTGCTGCTCGCCCGCCTTTTCCGCCGTCTTTCTGCCCACAAAACGTCGCTTCGGTTGTTTCTGCACGGGCACAGCCTCTTCTGGCATGCCCTGCTCGGCATCGGGCCCCAGGTTGGTCGCAGCTCTGTCGTCTTCCATTTTGCGCGTCGATGTCGTGGTTGAGCGCGTCGCGGGGTCGGGTGCAATCATGTGCCGGGGCTCAAGACTTTTTTGGTAGGGCTGAACCCAGGGTCCAAAAGTCGCCTTCTCCTTCCCTCCCCACACCCCTCCCATGCGTCAACGCGAGAGTAATCATAAATTAGTTTTTTTTGACGAGCATTGAAAAATTGATGGTTGAGATGGACAGGTTGTTGAATTCAGGGCATCCATATCAACGAGCAAGCTATGCACAAACGCCTTCAAGACCAGCGTCTGTCTGAACACAGGAATGTCTGTCATATATTACGTCTCGCCATATATCTAGCTTCCATCTAATGTTCCCTGGATCGCCTCGCAGTTACTGACGTTTCACAGCTTCGCGAAGATCTTATGCATACGCGCCACGTTACGGCCTCCGTCCCGTCTGGCGACTTCGCCTTCGCCTTCGCCTTCGCCAGGGTTGGCCACTGGGGCGGCGTCTGGCTTGGATACATACGCGATCATGCAGGGAGGCTCGCGCATCGTCACGCACTTGAAGACTTGGATCTTCTTGATGTACATGTTGCCCAGCTGCGCTTTGTGCTGAACCAGCAGATATGCGAAACCTTGCATGTTCGGCGTGCCTGGTCACATGTTAGCCAACCCTTCTCAGCCTTTGGTAAGCGAAGAGGCTTGTGTATCACTACTGGAGTGTGCAAGTCTTACCCATGAGTGCGTTCATTTCGTCTGTCCCCCGTTCGAACGTCTGCCCTGGAAAATCTTCTAGCTCAATTTTCCCTCGAGTGCGCAATGCTCTCATCGCCACTGCTCTAGTCTCTGGGTTGACGATCAACACAGATATGAAGTAATTTATGTTTTTGACATCCCCCTTGTACCCCTCTATCATGAATTGCCAATCCAGCCACGCCACGTCCGAGAATTGGTTGAGCTTCGGCAGTCCGTCACCAGTAATTGGCGGCGATACTTTGGTCTTGCCTGCTTCCCTGGGGCTCGTACGGTCCATGCCCATAATGACGCCGTCCTTGATGTTGAGTGAGAAGGTAAATTCAGCACCTGTGGATCGGTATTGCTTGCCATTAACGTCGTATCTTTGATCCTGGAGAGCCGTAATATATATAGGCGTGAAGTGTTGATAGTTGACGATGTGGTTCTGGCCTCCCTGGTATCTGCTTGCATCTGGGTTGATTCCGAGACTCGCGAGAGCGTCACCGATACCCCATGTCCTATAAAAGTCGAAATAATAATCGTCTACGTGATCGAGATCATGAAACATCCAGTTCCATCTATGGAGATCACCAATAGCCTGGAACGGTGATGCTGCCGTGGTACGTCCTGGGTCGTACTGGGGTCCGACTTCGCTGTCGTCGTGGCTCATCGCCCACGAGAGCATGCATCCCTTTCTCCTGCACCTATCCCAGACCTCATCAGTCGCAGGTTCATTTTGTGGATTCGGAGGAGGCCGATTTGGCAGACCGGGCGGAGGAGTTCGAGGGGGCGGAGGCGGAGGCCCAGCGGCGGCGAAAACCTTGCCCGGCGCCTCGAGGATCGTGACATTAGTGGATAGACGATCATCGTTTGAGCAGCTGAATGTTAAAGTCAGCTGCAAGAATTTCAATCAAGCAAGACGCTGGTACAAGAACTATCAAACCCGCCGAGACGGAAAGCGGTTTACTTGGGAAATGCCTACTCTTGACAGATCTCGCCTGCAACGGCAGCGAACAAGCCAGCAAGCCTGACGAACTGGCGGATCCGCATACTTTTCAAGTTTGTTGCTGATAAGTGGAAGGTAAGAGAGAGAAACACCCGGGTGGTGTTGGATTCAGAAGCGTACTACGCAAGCGGGATTGAGCTTTTTTGTGCGTAGCTCCCGCCTTCACCTTCACTGCGGATGAAGTGAAACGAACGAAGGCGAGAGATTTGTGCACTTCCCAGACCTTGCGTCACCGAATAGCGCGCTCTTGTTGTGCGAACGTCTCCAAGTGGTTATGGCTCGCGGGCTGTTCTTTCCTCTTTCCCCAACTGAGCAGTTCGTCGTACAGATCCACATATACGCACCTACCTTCTCCCAGGGCGACGAAAAGATCTATCGGTGACTTCTGCGCAACTCCTGGAATAACAGCGATACGTCTAAAGGCGTGTTTCATTCGAAGCGCGAGCACTTCAACCTGTTCGTTTCATCATTCAAACACTACCGACGCCATCAGATTGGCATATCATATCCGACTATTAACATCTTCCACAGTCATCGTCCAGCCCTCATGGCAAATGATGCGCAGGAATACATACAGGGTATCGTGTAACGCAAAGAGCCCCCCCATGATGTAAAGAAACAAGCTTGGAACCAGATCAAATGTTCAGTTTACCTCCCAACCAGAAGCCACCAACCCACAACGCTCCCCAAACCGGCTGAAAGAAAGCTCGAAGCACCGCCGGACCAGGACAAATTCCCGTCAAGCCCCAGCCAACACCAAAAGCTGCAGCTCCGACAACGAATCTTATATCCACATCTTGCAATGTCTTCGTAGGTAGCGAGAACTTGTCGGCGAATGATGGTGGGCTGGTGAAGCTTTTCATTTGGTTCTCGATCAAGTTGGGTAGGACGCCGAAGAGTATGACCAGAGCGAGTGACGGGTCCCAGTGTTGCAGATCTGGGAAAGAGAAGAAAGCGGCCACCTTGTCCGGGTGTGACATCTGCGAGATATGAAGACCGAGTGCGAAGAGTAAACCCGAGAAAGACTGCGTCGTAAGGCGTGCAGCAGTATGTGCATCTGCGGGCTGATGTTTGGCGTCCTTGATTGCGGGCGCGACCGTGACCTGGGCTACGAGTTTGGGTATGGTTCGCGCGGCGAAGATGCTGAATACGGCAAGTATGAGAAGAGATGCAGTTGTCTCGGTTGACGGATACACAGGCGTGTAGCATGGTGCACTGCCAGGGCACATCGGACTCGATAGGCTCGGATTGACGAGGTGATGTGTTATGATCGCCGCGGGAAAGAAGGTAGCAACTGCGATTGCTGAGCGTCCACTCAGTCTGGGGAGTCCACACAGCATGTGTCCGGATGTACACCCATTCGACATCTGGCAGTTCGCGTTAGTGGTGAGAGAGTCTAGTACCAAAGGTCTCTTACCTTTGTTCCCCATCCTATCAGAGCACCAATCGCTAGCGTAAACAGAGCACTCTGTGGACTTGTCTGTACAGCAGGATACTCCGTGATCAACTGCGGTGCTAATGCCTTCAACGGAACATAGCTGGCAGCCATGCCCGTGAAGAAAGCGAGCAGTTCCTTCGTAGGCGCAGAGAAGAGTCGACGCAGATAGCCGCTGAGTCCCAGGATATCGCCATTCTGATAGAGGAGGTTGCTAGTCGCTTGGTGTAGCAGAAAGGCACCGATGGAAGTCTCGACAGGTGTAAACATCCTCTTGATACCGGTATTGTCGTTTCGTCGGGTCCCGTCCCTTAAAGAATCCCACTCTAACCAATGCCTCGTCCCGTAAGGTGCATCAGCAGAACGAAAGCAGCAAAATCAAAGAAACCCCCTGCCAGCGAAGGACTAACAAGCCGTTTGTAGACCACCACCTCATTATGAAGGACTAGGTCACTAGACCAGATCTTCTCTCGCTAACGGGCCCATGTGCCAATCGCCGTGTAGACATTTTCCCTAGTCGCCGACCTCACGCTGCAAACGTGGACTTAGCCGAGAATGCAATCATCCCGACGATGGATATATCGTGGAGGCGGACTGGTGGCGCCCCGGCAGCAGATACGCATATACCCCTAGGTAAATTGACTAGCGTGGGTACTAAGCGTGGCTCGCGCGTGGTAGGCGCGTGGGTCGTCGGCGACGAGAATGCGCCCCAGGGATAGCACATGGGAACTTTACCCGGTTCATGGCTTGCGCGACTGCATGGCGAGGCTTGCGTACCCGCGAACATGATGATGTAGAGTCGACGAGGCGTTTCACGATGTGGGATATCGTATGATTTCTGCGCTGAGGGCAGCGAGTGCGAGTGTCATCGTTCTCGGGGTCTTGGAGGCTAGTCGGCGACCGAAACCTCGCACCGTCGGAATTACCACGGCCTTCCTTCGTCATGGAATGAATTACTAACGTGGCCCGCTAGGTCAAGCTGGTGTGTGGGTGTCTAGATGGTTTCTAGAAGGACTCCGTGCGACGGACGGATGCGAGTGCCGGGTGGCGGCTACTGGCGCGAACTTCATCGATGGTCCATCACGGCGGCGACTGACTTCGAGTTTTTGTCACTTCTTCTCACGAACGATTGTATGCGTTTGTTGAACAGCTTCACATCGCTGCATATTTCTTGCATACGCGGCCCGCTTATCTCAGATTATTCTCCGTGTCAGATCTGCATGTCGCAGCTACCTCGCCGACCAGAATGCCTGCAATGGGAGCGATACAATGCTTCTCGAAGATGAGCAAACATGCCAAGTACTCAACGGACACCGACACACCGCAGCGCTGCGCCGAAGTGTGCATCTGCTCTGATTGATTGCGTGGTCGGTCTGCAAGCCAGTCGTCGAACGCGCAGCTCAAGATCCTCCTTATTTCTATTCTTCAAACTACTCCTCCAACCACGGCTTCGCCAAGTAAACCCTCAATCCATGCCATCCTACTAGGGCCCCCAGTCCGACCGTTGGCAGCCACTCATGCAGCCTCTCCTGGACACATCAATCGCCTGAAGGGTGCATATCCATCTTGATGAAGCAGGAGATCAAATTACATATATCCTGAGTCCTGGCCACCTACTTAAAGCCTCCAACCCCATCTCACGCAGCCACGCAGCCAGCAATACACCTTTCTGAACTCCCATCCTTCCCCTCCTCCGCTTCATCTCGAACTCCTTGGTAACCGTAATCCCGACTTTAGCTCTCTCGCCATAGACCTCAGGCCACACATGTATAAACGCGACATGCTCCTCAACACCGACCCACCACTTATTATTCTCCTTCACGCTGAACACATCGCCAAAAGCAGTCCGCACGTGTTCGGGGAGTTCGAAGTGCAGCTTCAAGGACGGGGAGTTTTTGTATGCCTTCAGGAAAGGGAGAATGTCGATGTTGGGTGTTGACCACGATGACTCTCGGACCGTGATGCGTACGCTGCCTAAAGGAAGGGTGGGAGGCTGGTCGGGATCACGGGAGGCGGTGCTAGATACAAGGGCGTCGAGCGAGATGGACATTGAGTGGTTTTCGCGATAAGTGGCTTCGTATTCTTTTCGTATTTGATGGCAGGTCTGTGTGATGCCCATGTCGTAGCGTTGTATAGTGTTCCATTCTGGAGGTTCGTATAGAACGTCATCTTTGTTCTCGTAATACAGCACGATCTGGTGTGCGGGCGTGTGCAGGTAGTTTGGGGTCGAGGAGAATGATGTGGTCTCTGAGTTGACGGGAGCGTCGTGGTTTATACGTTCATTGGCGAGGTATGAATATATTTTGTTCCGAAGTTCTATGCTTGTTAGTGATGCACTTGATGACGACGGTTAGTGTGTACTTACCACCGGATAGGGATAGAAACCCGAGCCTGGGGCTTTCAACAGTGAGGTTTTGGAGAGCTGCGTTGAGTTCCTGAATTGAAGCGAGAGTATCGGACTTTTTTGGACCGGACATGTTATATGGTAAGCAGTTTGCTTGCCTCGATGGGTAGAAGTTTTCAGGGTGGTTTGTAATCAGTAAGACATCCGAGTTGAGCTGAAGGTTAGCGATAATTGATCAGCTCTCCACATGCGTCAGTCGAGATAGTGGTATTGTGCACTGCTTTCACTACACCTGCTTTAGTTACACTAAGAACAAGGCCTGCGCGTGCCGTCCAATTCACCTTTCAGCATTGGAAAGCTACACGAACCTCTCGATGGAGGGCACTGTTCCCGTTGAACCAGATCTTGGTCTTATACAGATCTATCCCTCCGTTGGGTGTAAACAAATACGACGTGCCCTTATTCACTGTCGAGCTTCGCTGACGTCGCAGAATCTTCCGGAACTATATCGCCAAAGTGATAGAGGAGCGAACTGTACTTGCCACTATTCCTGTTGAGACCAACACGTTTACTCCATGCCATTGCTGCGATGAGATGCTTAGTCTTCTCATAGAAGTTGAGACCCATCCAGCTTTCCGCCCACTCTTTCTTGACCACGATTGTGGTCTTCAGACCTTCGTTCGGACAACTGCTGATGGTGATCTGAGAAATGCAGTTTTTTGCGTAGACATTCCAGCGGGGGTTGCGATGGGTGTTGAGCAGCGAGTTGAACAAGCTGTTCTGGCGGAAGTCATTAGTGTCCTCGTTGAGAAAGCGTGCAATCAAGCGTGGCGCCCGAGCGATGATTTTGACCAATGGGAGTATATTGACGGAATGACGTGTTACTAAAACCCTTGGCCTCAGCAAGATAACGCTACCGACCGCGTCGTCGTAAGTGCCATGTTGTGGATCGACAAACGTAGAGATGTACTGATCGACCTGGTAATATGGTATTGCAATAGTGGTAGTTGTGAGGTAGATAGGCAAGAATTCATCGCGGATCTGTCTACAGGTTCGTGTGAGACCTAGGAGCGTACGATCCTGAGCAATCCAGTCGATGTTGTTCTTAGTAAGGCTGGGGTCGTGCGAGAGCTTGACCAAGATGCTCTGCTCAGCTGCATACTCATATATGTAGTTGCGGAGTTCTTTAGATCTGATTAGCAACTGTGAAATCTGGTTCCGAATTCTTGACTCACCCCCAGATAAGTCCAGAAAGCCGATAGCTCGACCTTGGCAAGGCGATGCGGGCGTGGGCGCAACAGCTGCGCCAGAGTCACTCTCGGTTTTTTGCATGGTATAAGTCGCTTGTCGTGTAATAGTTCCCAAGGCAATGGGCTCCTCCAAGTGGCTGCGAAGTAGACCGAAGAAATCAGAGACCCGAAGTGAGTGAGAATAGCAAGAGTGGTCTTGGCAAACCACCTGACGCGGAAAGTGGGTCCACAACAAGTGAGGAAAGTGCGTTTGCGTTTGCGCGAGTGAGAGATTGATGTGGAAATTAAGATTTGTAATTCAGAAGATTTCCACGGCAGCAACATTTGGGGCCTCTGGCGCATAGTATTGCACTCATGGTTGGGATGGAACCAAGTAAAGGATACCAGAATCAAGGAAAGCGGCCCAACCACACCGGAGACATTCGATTAATGTGAAAGATCTACGAGACCGGCTCGATTCGATCTTGTACCGTAAATCGTTTGAGACGTTTAGTATCTGCGTTAATACAGCCGTATCGTCGTCCAGTTCGTCCTCGACGTATCATTCGTTCAAGATGCTCAATATACCTCACCAAAGCCCTTTCTCTCGGCGTCTTGCATCTTGTCAATCTCTGTCTCGCCAATCTTCTTCTCTTCCTCCCCGGCTTCCCTATCCTCCTCACTGTTCTCAACAATCATGTTGCCTTTCAACGCTTCCGTGAGGATTGGTTCTCCTTCCTTCTCCTTTGCGAACGCAGCGTCATCGCTGGTGGCATCGCCGTCGCCCAGTCTATCAGTCCTGACGCCGTTACCCATGCCAGATTCCTCTTTCCAGCTCTGCTCTGTCTGTTTGCGCTGCAGTTTGCGTTCTTTGGACTGTCTGCGCTGCGTAGAGCTTGCTCGAAGGAACTTGCGATGTTGTATTTGTTGCATGCCCGGGAAGTAATCGGAGTCATCAGAGAAACCCTCGCCTGGTGTCTTGTGAGGCTGTAGGTGGCGGAGGACAGCTGCGGTTCTCGGTTGCGCATGACTACCTGAGCGTGACATGGACGATGTTGCTTCCCCTTCGTCACTGCTTGTAGCGTCGTTGGACGCATCGTTTGGAGACGCTGGTGTTGGAGGCATTTCCGGCATGGTGGCACCCTTAGTACTCTGCTTCCGCGATAGCTTTGCCGGCGACGGCTCGTTGATGATGGGAGCGTGTTCAGTCTGCTGCGCTGCAACTGGGTGGTCCTCCTGTTCGCTTTCTACAGGCTCCATATGTGAGACTGCCGGCGGGGGCAGCTGTTGCGATTGTCCCATATACTCCATAGTGTTCTTGCGCATCGGTCGACGGGGGTAGTTGATCTTGTCATGGTCACATCCGTTGACGCATCCTCCCCATCGGCGCGTGGGTATGGTGGGGGATGCGGTGATGCCTCCTTGGCCCAGGCCAGTCAAAGGTGTGGCCCTGCTCGGCGTAGATGAGGTGGCGCTTTTTGTCTCTTCCTTCTCCTTCGCAGCACGGCGCTTGAGTTCCGACCATGTTCGTAGCTCGTTCTGGAGAATGTATCGGCCGTTGTTCTCGCTTCGCTTCATAATTATGAATTCGCAGTGGTTGACGTTACGGAGATCCTCGAAGTACTCGACCGACCAGTGGTACCTGGTGCATGTTAGTTCTGGACTACTGACCCAATCGTTATGCGCCTCACCATTTCATAAGGAAGACCCGCGACATCAGCCCGTGTGTGACCAAAACGCATACACTGGGAAAGTTGTCGTCTTGGAAAGATCTCCACAAGCTCTCATTGAAGCCACTGACTCGATCGTACGCGTCAGCCGCACTCTCACCATCAGGTATACGGTAGAAGAAGTGCCCATAGTCGGCCCTCTCCTGCCACATGCGCTCCATCTCCGCTGAACATGGCTGGAAGTTGCCAAAGTCCTGCTCGCGTATCCGGGGCTCTTCGAAGACGGTTATCTTATTGCGGGGAAAGGGCGATGGTGTTGGGTCGTCGGAGGTCAGGGTACGGAGTATGCCTTCGGTCGTCTCGCGCGTGCGACGGTAAGGTGAAGTGAAGAACTGGAGAGTGTCGTCTGGCTTGAGCAGAGACCGTAGCTGTCTTCCTGCCTCTTCTGCCTACAATCATATGAGTTAGTCATGTCTCGTCTCAAGTCGAATGGGACTGGGGGCATACCTGAGTCCAGCCATGCTGGGTCAGTTTCACTCTATGGTCGGGAATGAACTGGTGGATGTCGCGATTCTTGTTTCCCTCTGACTGGGCATGGCGGATCAATATGATCATCTGCGAGGGAGTTAGCCATTGGCCTTGGTGGTATTAATAAAGTGGACCTACGCGGGGTTTCCCCATGTTGAAGAGAGTGGGATGTGTGTATGGTGTGGGTTTGGAAGATGATGTACGTGTAGTTGATACTATGCTGTACAGCAAGGTGTCTTCGAGGCAGGAAGGGAATATGTACAGCTGCGCAGGGAAAGTGCGATCAAGGGCGTTTCATGTGCAGCTGCAAGCCCGACGATAGCGGCGACTTCGCTGGCGCGAGTGGCTTGTTCGGCCGCCCGTAGCGCCCCCGAGGTGTTCGCCGCAAGTGCTAGCGCGTCATCCCTCGCGACTGTTTCTTGGCCCTCATTCTTCACCACTTTTTCTGCATTGCGCGACAGCACCCGTACACGCTGCTACTGCCCACGTTATCTCTTTGAAGGCGCATCACTCCGGGCAACTACACACGACATCATAAACAAATTATCGCCCCCCTGCCAGCTTATCACTGGCCAGCGCTTCGCATCTATCTCTGTGGACTCACCACAATGTCTGAACCCATCCCCGAATCGATACCCACCTCCGCCGATCCGCGCTCGCAGCGCCCAACGAAGAAGCGCGCGCTTACTCCCCGCTCAGCGCAAGCCTCAGAAGTCGAGGCTCTCTTCGCGAAGCCTGATCGCGATATCTACATCCCAGGCTCCAGCGCACTAGCCAAATCCTCTTTACCCCCAGAAATCGTCGCCAATGTACAAGGTTCCAGTGCAGGTGCGGGAAGTGGCGAGTTCCACGTCTACAAGGCGAGTCGGAGGCGCGAGTACGAGAGGCTGAGGATGATGGACGAGGAGGTGAAGAAGGAGGAAGACGAAAAGGAGTTTGCCAAGCGGAAAGAGGAGCTGGAAAAGAAAGACAATGAGAAGACGGAGAAGAATCGGTTGAAGCGTGAGAAGGCGCGACAGCGGAAAGAGAAAGCCAAGAAGGGTGGAAAGGGTGGAACAGGCAGCGAGAGGGATGAGACACCAGTCGCAGAGGATGGCAAGACGAAGAAGAAATTGGCGCCGAATGCGAATGTGCCAAAGACTGGCACCGATGAGGACGCAGATGCCAACAACGAAGGCGGGGAGGTCAAGAATGCGGAAGAGATTGGTCTAGTCATCGAAGACGATGACTGAGCGGCGTACACACAGCTCGGAAGAATGGTTGCATGAGTGGAACAATAATCATTTTAATTCAGCAAAGCTCCATCAAGAGCTGATGGAGATACTCTTCACATTCAGGTCAAAAGGTGCGATGACATGGATTTCTCCCCAACCTGGTGCTAACGCTCAATACAAAAGTCTCCTTACCGTTGTCGCGAGCCGTTACACAACCCTCTATCCGATGCAGCCCTCCACAGCAGCCACGCCTCCTTCATATATCGCCCGTCGACTGTCGTCAGAAGCATTCGCATCAAACATCTGCAATCAGGGCTATGTTGCTTGTCAAGGATTAGCGGCACAACAGGAGAATTATGCAGGTGCGGCCCGGCAAAGTTCGCGGCTTTTCCCATTCCAACCAACCATAATTGCTGGGCATTGCAGGACCTTGACGGCTTCATCTGTCTGGTTCACTGGCTCATTGCGACCGCATTTCATCTACTCTCGACAACATCCATATACTTCTTCTTCATTTACCGATCAAGTTTTTGGCAACGAACGGTCGGGACTGCCTACCGGAGTCGAACTCCGATGAGATGCGAGAATGCGGGGAGTTCAGCGCTGCCCCTCACATCAATTTACCTCATGTTCGATCTTGATTAGTCTTTTCAAGTCTCGCCAGATTTTCCTTTGCTGCCCAAAAAAATGACGTTGTCGTCAATTCACATACCAGGTGTCTGAATACGCCGACTTGCCGATGTCCTCTTAGTTTAAGCCTCGAGACCCACAAAAACTGCTCCTGCTAAGTTCTGCATGAGCTCACGACTGACCGTCGTGGCGGAGACCCGAGCCGCACTGTACGGCATCTTTGAAGCCTCATAAGAACGATTCGACGTTACTGTGTTATTCACAGCCAAATAATTGTCCCGAGATCGGCTAAACAGCCCGGCCGTCACATCTAGGAGAGACGCGTCCTCGATCTTAGTACCCAAAGTAAACAATCTCGATTCCATCCCCGTCTGGTTGCATGCAGTATCTATCGGCATTTGAGTACCATTGCTTCTATACAGGCCTACCTGCAGGCCTCTTGCAAGTCCGATCCAACGAGACATCAGAGGCCTCAGGCCACACGCTCAAGATCACCTCTACCATTGGGTCGTATATATGAGCTGTTTCAAATCATACCCTCACCGCGGTTGTACAGCCCGTTCCTGCCCTGAACTCAAAGCTTAATTAGACAACGGACCCGGCCACAAGCAACCGATAAATTGGCCGCTGTGCTACTCTTCATAAACACCCTGGCGCGACGCTCTCTGCACAACGTGTCCGCAACGTCATATCCTCTCAACATACTCGATCGGCCCCAAACCTCCGCGAGTGAAAGAATTCTCCGAACTCTGGGCTTTGATAGCCGGGCAAATATGGCGTTGCTGCACCATTATACGGGATATTAGGATTCATCAACATGGGCTTGAGGGCGGAGGAACAGGGAAGGAAAGTAATCTACGCTGACGCATGGTAGCCAGGTACGCGTGTGCTCTGGAATATGTGGAAACTGGGGGTGAGCAGGAGTATAAGAGAACCTCGTGTCAGAAGTTTAAATCGACATCAACGAACAGCTTCCACTTTACTCACTCACTGAACTATACATCCGCACACTATGAAGCTCACCACCGTCATCCTCATGGCCGCTGGGTGCACCTCCCTTACCAAGCCACTTCCTCAACACCCCAACTAACATCCCCCAGCGCCCTCGCCGCCCCCATCGTAGAACGCCAAGCCACTCCCTCAATGCCCGTCGGCATCCCACCCTTCCCCACTGGCCCTCGCCCCACCGGTCCCATGCCAACACCTCCAGGAGGTTTCCCCGCGTTCCCTACTGGCGCTCCTCCCTTCCCAACCGGCGGCTTTCCTGGCTTCCCCAGCTTCTCAGGCGGTGCGCCTCCCTTCCCAACTGGTGGCTTCCCCAGCTTCCCAGGTGGTGTTCCTCCCATGCCGACTGGAGGGTTCCCTGGTCGGCCTAGTAGAGGACCAATGCCGAGGCCTACGAGGAGTGTGCCGGGCTTTTGTGAGTAGATTGTGTTCTTGGAGAGTGTTGGGTTTGTTGCTGATCTTTTGTAGCGCCTATGCCTAAGCCTACGCCTGTTGGGCCTCCGGCGTAGATGGTCAGAGAGATGTTAGGGCGGAGACTTGGGGTATGGGTTCAACCTCGGCGGAAGAACGTTGCTAAGTTCGTTGTACATAGTGCCACTCAAATATGATCGCAACTGGGTTCGTAGCAAATCGTGCTCTTTCGTCATCGTGAAGCGCGTTGTTATCATTCCAATTCGATGTCCTCAACCGTCCATTCGCCGACTTTGTCCCCGGGCTGGATTTCGCATGACAACTGGGCCAGATCTTCGCGTTCGTCAAAAGCCGGTATGTGTGCTGTGCAAATATGCCGGTATGTCCCGCTAACTTGTCTTCGCACGATGAGCGGATAACAAGATCCAAGTATTATCCAAATGTCGTCTCCTTCTCTTATATTACAATCGGGTACTAGGCCAGCGTATCCACTGTTTGTTACAATGTAAGATCTTCTATACAAGCTTTGTAACGTATCGCGGAGCGCGGACCACGCGCGTCGATCAATCCTTTTCAAAGGGGCTAATAGGTCCAGTACTTTAGTTCCCTCGTGCCCTAAACTCCGGCTCGCCCGCTCCGGAGCACTGCTAATTTCAAGAAGGTAAGACAATCCAGTCTCAATACAACTGTGATCGTGCTTTCGCCCGTGTAGACCGCCTTCGATAACACGAAGGAATTCGAGCGGCAACCCGGGGCCAGAGTGCCCGAGGTGTCGCTGCAGATATTCACCGAGCGGAGACGTCCAGAAGCGACCAATGGTCGCGTATGCGCCGTTGGTAAAGCGTTTCTGTATCCAACCCACCTCTACGCCGCGAATGCGTAATGTCAAATTTTCGACATTGACAGAATTTGAAAGGCACTGGGTGCGTCTTCGCTCATGATCATATCGCAAAGTGACCGGTGTTCCGAGAGGGTCGCCTCCCATCCATTTATCTGGTATCCATGTTGGATGGGTAATCTCGTCCGACTTGAGACTATCTGTTGCTTTAACGTCATGTCGGAAGCTGTCAATCAGGAACTCAAGATCCCTATGTCGACTGATGTAGTAGGCGGCTGCATCTGCCATGACCTGCGCTTCAGTCTTGTTGTAATCGACTTCAATGCCTCCTTCTTCGTAGTCTTTAGCCAAGTGCATAAGAGCATACAAGCGATCATGGCCTACCGACACTTGCATATAATTGGATCTGGGAAGAATGGTGAGAAGCCCAAGTCTCAGTCTTTGCTCACCATGAAAGGCGAACATCTCGGAACCAAAACTAAAAGGGCCGGCCATATATCCTCTCAATGCACGTAGATTGGTAAACTTCCAGACGTTGGGGTGAACATCAATTAGAGGGAAAAGGTCCCCTATGACTTGCTGGAAGTCGGCGACAGCCATACCATCAAAAGCAATATTCATGCAGTGTAGCATTATTCGTCGTGCGTTACGGACTTCTTGCTGTCTACCAGCATAAAGGCGACCGCGTCAGCTGATACTCTATATTCAGGCGACCGTTGATCCACTTACATCCAAATACGATTGAAGTACCCATTGTTAAACATCGGAACCAGAGGATCCCAGAAGCTGGGCTCATCGCCCAGGCCACTATATTCTGCATTTGGGCTGGGTTTAAAGCTTTGGAGAGCTGCTACGGCCGCACTCTCTTCGTCGATCGACGGTTCATTGATCCAAATTCGCACACAGGAAGCGTTGTGGTAGATGGTCCGCATCATGGCGACCTGTTCGGCTCGTTCCTCAAGACTGTTCTGATTAATGCATATTGCATCGATCCATATCCTCAGTGATTTCGATCCTCCAAGATCGCGCAGGTATTCCAATGCCCTGGTCAAATTCCAGCCCGTCGGTATAGTGGCGCCATCAACGACGACCTGATCAGTCTGCGTGGCATCGCCCCACATGTACGACAGCGCATCGTATGCGAAGTCATTGTTGACGTCCGCGATGATGAATTTGCCTAGGAATGGGTCTGATCGTTGACCAGGCTGGAGTTCGAGGATGCGTATGCAGCGGGGTTCGAGAGGCTCGTAGTGAAAGCAGGACAGCGTGTCTGCGCTCGCGTTCCTTGAGCGAAGCTGGCAGTAGCTTCGGCCTTCCTCTTCAGAGTTGTCGTCGATCATCTCGCAGGGCCAGTAAGATGGAACATGAAAGTTCTGCTCGACGTCAGAGTATAGGATAAGTAGAATGAGTGTTGAAGATGCAAGGAAAAAGATAGCTGACTTGTCAGCATGTGGGCAGGTGTGCGGGGTCAAGCGAAGCCACGCCTGGCGAGACGAGGCTGAGAGAAAAGCATCAGGAGTTCTCGCGCGCGTAACAAATGTCATATCCGATACATTGACTACAGCGCGCCTTCCAATATAGCTTTTGTCAAGTCAACTTTGCGAACACGTGGTCCATAATTTGAAGGGCACGGATGACGAATCTCATGGAGACTATCTCGCATCATTGTGCCCAAATACGCTGATACAGGTACGGCTCGTGAGGCTATCGACCTCTGGAGTTGCAATACCGACGCGCTCTCAGGATCGTCAATGCCGTCCTCGTCGAGGTTGATATCGAGCACGAATCACTGTAGCGAGACTACAGCCCTGGATATTACCATAAATGAGACTAGATACGGAAGCGATTAGATACATGTGGTATCTAAATGACGGGCTACCGACTAGTAGCTAGCCAGACACTCCCAAATACCAGGTTTAGAAAACATCGCCCTGATCGGCATCTCGACCTGGTACTTTCCGTCTGCTGTACTTCTGATCTTTGCGTAGCCCTCCTCAGCTATGACCTCACCCTTGTCAAAGTCAGAGTCAGAATCAGACCCCGCCTCAGCGTCGCCGTCGACAAATGGAACGTCACTGCTCCCAAACATGCTTCTGGCCAGGGCCTTGAGCGGCGCATCCTCTTCTACCTTCTTGGCGTCTTTCCCGTGGTACTTCAGTCCCAATTGTCTGTCGACTATTTCCGTGCCTCTGAGCGAGGAGACTGAGCCATAATGCTCAAGGAAGAAGTTCCGTCGGCGACAGCGTCCACAGCGTTTTTCGATGTGAGTTTTTTCTTTTAGGCACTCCGCGCGGAGGCCTACCAACAGTAGGTCCATTTCGCGGTCGCGATATACGTCGTTCAAGGAATGGTGATGATGAATTTTCGACAGCACGGCACTTTTATGCATATCTTCAGATTCCCAATTCTCGTAAAAGCCAAACAGCTGACAAGTGTTGCTAGCGATTAGCTGCCAAGCTACCGTCAAGTGATTGCGAGAAAATTGCTGTGCCAGACACTCGTCGCCGACCCAGACCTTGCGGCCTTTATGCGGCTCGTTGTATTCGTGTTTCGAAGGTTTGCGAATGGCTTCCTGGATGCAGGCCCATACTTTTCGAAGTTGTGGTGCGAACTCTGGGTCATCTAAATCAATTTTGCCACGCCTGTCTTCATATTCCGCGGCCAGCTTGAGGACATGCAAGCCTATGCCTGGATGCGGGTCGTACATGAGCGGCTCAAGAATAGGGTCTCCGGCCAGTGCCGATAGAATGTCTTTCCAGATATCTCCGCAGATCATGTACATCGAAATCCAGTCGAAGTACACATTCTGCATCTCGCCTTCTATGAAGAGAGACAAATCGCGAAGCAGCACAGGAGAGCCCTCTGCCGGAACATCCTCGAACAGTCGAACGATTCGGCGAGTGTCAATCTCACTTTCAACCCAATCCGGTGATGCGCCCAACTGGCGTGCTAGTTTCCCTTGTTCGGCTTTGTCGCACAGCAAGACATTGAGGTTACCGGCAAGCTCGTCCACGGACTCGTTGGTGTGGTCGCTCCATCCGGTCATCCGATCCTCCAGAACCGGACTTAATATGCTCGTCTTCTGGAACATACGATTTGTGTTTTTCGCCTCGGATTTTCCACGGCCGTTCGCGCGCGGCAGTTTGTTGCCATAAGCAAGGTTGAGTTTGCGATATGCCTCGTCAAGGGACTTGGGTTTCCCGCCGTAGAAGACGTGATTTGGATCTTGGGAGTAGAGGACGTATTCCATGTCAGGCCAAGCAGGATCGTCCGGATAAAGCAATTTTCCCTAAAGGTTTTCGTTAGCATTTTCCTTTAGTCCGTACTACTATGAGTATCGTTGGAAATTCCAGACCACTTGAATGAAGACAGTCATGGCTTTCTCAATTGTAGGCTCCCATTAACCTTGAAGAGAACCCTAGAATCCGAAGAGAACGATCCGACAAGACTAGCTTACGTACCGCAGTGTATATATGACCCAGGACGCACACAAGGCCACTGAGCTTCTCGGTGTAGAACCCGCAAGCATGTAGTTGGAGGTAGAAATCGTACTTGATCAAACCGCAACGTATGGGATTGTACTTGACGGCAGGAATGTCGGCGTGCTCCACAAGCTGGTGATACACTTGCAGGGTATCATTACACACCTCGCGTTGAAGCCCACATGGAGTGCCGGGTCCATACCACGTCTTGAATGGGGCCTTCCAATCATAGAACTTCCACCATAATTCCATCTCATCACGATGACACACTCGAATGTTATTGAACGGGACATTGTTGCCCTCGCCCTCGCCCATTCGATAGTCCATGATGTCCTGGATGTCGAGAAGGGTCTGGATGCCAAACGTCACCCAGATAGGGATGACTTTATCTGTGAACATCAATTTCATACCGCGAGTGACCTGGACAATACATAAAGTCAGTGTGTGACTCATGCAGTTCCTACTGAAAGCCTCTTACTTCATCCTGTGCCCAGAACCGATTCTGGTTTGAGGTGTATACTCGGAACTCTTTGGCAAGTTTGAACGTCCGCATGATGTCCGTGACCGAATCCGCACCAATCGCTTGAAGCTCCTCTTCGTTAGCGTCAAGATACGGGAATTTCTTGACACGGTTCACACAGAATCGCAGACCTGTGTAGACGGGCCAGAAACACCAGTTAGCGTGAAGTTTATCGTAGTCGTCCTTGTTTGCCTTGACGGTAACATCCGAGGGGACCACTAAGTTCTGAATACTGACACCATCTGGCAACGGTCGGTAATGGTGATATAGGAGCGCAGGGAGGCACCACACAGGGAACTTTGATGCTGGGTATTTCGAGGGACGCTTAAGAAGAAGGTCCAGTTCGCCCTCAGCCCGTCTGACAAGATCTATCGCGGTATTGCTGAGGAGACCCGACAAAATGTAGTCCCGAGTAAAGTCCGTTGATTTGAACCAGGAATCTTGTACCACCTCTTGAATTTCATGGATCCCTTTGAGAAACAGATGTATTGCGAAAAAGAACTCTTCTTCGGCGTCTTCGTCACTCTGCTCGATCTCCGCTGCGACAACCGGCGGTAACTTGGGTTCTGGTTTCACATCCTCTGTTGACAAGGTGTCGGCAGCTTCTTCGACCGGCAGCTTCGTAAATCGATTATGGACACCATCGCTCTTCTCTGGCTTGGTGACTTTGGTGACAGGAGCTAAAGGGCGCAAGATTTCCTGAACTCGTGACAGTATGTTGATGAAGTGATGATGTCCTTCATCTGCAAGTTGATTTGATCCGTAATAAGCTTGTGCCTCTTTTCTAGCTTTGATAGCTCTACCGAACACTGTCAGCAGTGGAGATGGTACTTTGACTTTCTTGACTTGTTTTGCGATAGCCTCGGCGATAGGTACGAAGTCGACGGTCCTGATGTGATATTCAGAGGGCTGCTTTTTGGCAGCCTCTTTGGCCTTCTTCCTATCTTTGCCTTTTAGGCGTTGAGACTCTGACGGCGCAGACGCCTGTATACTACTGAGACTGAAACCGATCTTTTTTGAGGCTTCCACTAGCCAACCGGCAATGTATGCTTTTGTCGTGTGAGCTGCTTTAACCTGGTGGCTTTAAGCATGGTAAAAGACGCACCTGTATCCTTCTTGTATTGGCGATAGGTCGCCGAGAGAAACCCATGATCCAGAGTCGTCGACATCTTGCAGAAATGAGAGAGCGAAGAGCGCGGGTGGATAAAGAGTTGTGGAACATCAATGGTTGAAGCTGCTGTTTCGAATGAGCGGAGTAGCGGGACTTCGGATGGACCAAGCGTCAAGTGGAGCTCCCGGCATGCTAATTCGCTCGATCAGTGGATACCAAGGATCCTTCCTGTTTTGGAGCCGGCAATTAGATCAGACGTGCGCGTAGTGGTAGGTGGTTTATCAAATCGGTGATGCTTTTTATTCGAGAGTATTCAATTGCATCAGCGTGGTATGGGTATCGGAAACTGCAAGTCTTTTCTGCGAAAGGTCGTCGCAGTACCACGAAATGGGCAGGGCCATTGAAGACGAGCCCCCAACTACCTAGACCTTGAAAGCCTTCAGACTTTTCAGAGACAGCAGATGCAACCAGGGCCGAGTGAGCCAAGAGCTGGACTTAGTACGAAGTAGACAGAATACTGAAGATGCACTGGACAAAGAACATTGAAGGCTGGCACCGTTAGTGTGTGTCCGTGGGGGTGCGGGGTTAGGCGAATCTCGGGCATGCAAGGCAACCTTGGAATGCAGTGAGTAGATGATTGCTACCTTCCTCCAAACACTATGCTCATACGACCCAAATGGATGTGCACATAAGATTTTGGAGGTCTTCAGACCTGCGTAAAGGCCTCGGCGAAGATTTTCACGCCGCGACTTTTCGCAGCTAATTAGAAAAAAGGCGGTACTTACCTAGGTAGGCACAGATTACTCTAGGAACTTCTCATCCGCCTTCGACGGAGATCTTTTGACAGGTAGACACATCCCCGAATGCTGTATGCAGTGCGTGGTCTGCTCTTCTAGTGGGCGAGCTGCTCGCATCGTTCCGAGGTCTTCATCTACTAGGTAGCGTGGTGTACAACCTGCCCAGGTGTACTTAGCTATGTGAGTCTGATCAATCGAGTACTACACACTATGTCAGTATTTTAAAGCTGACTTCTAGGATTTCAGAGATCTGTCACATGTGTCGTATTCACGGAGTAGAATCGGATCGTGTCCAAAGAGTGGCAGCTGAGCACTCAGCCTCCGCATCTTCCCCACATCTCACTAGAGTCTTACCTCACCCGAGAAGCGACTTCTACAGCTATACTTTACGTCATACATTGGACAAATCACGGAAAAATTGAAAGCAAGAGCTTTAAACCCAGAATAGAGACGGCTCTTCGGCATTTCGACACATCATCAAGGGGCTGACAGCTGAGCGGTGGTGGCTGATGTATGCTTAGCTCCGTCGCACACGAGCTGCATCAAACCAGAAGCTGCACGCGTATTACACATCTTGGACTTTGGTATCGGTGTGCTGCTATGTGTGGTAACATCGGCTGGTTGTGTAGACGGTCGCCTGACCGCACCTTTCGCGGTTTTCGTCTCGGCGGACAAGATGCCTCCACCGAACCGAGATCTCACGAGAGAACTATCGGATCGAGTCCTTGGATTACTCAAAAGCCAACATGAGCTGAGCGCAGTACCATCTCACGACCCTAAGGTCTCCTGAAAGCCACTCTTACGCTACTATGTGGAGGCACTGCTGAAGGCGGATGATCATAAGCATCACGAGTAAGACTAGAGACGTGTGAAGTATAAGAAGATGAGCCGTCTTCGCTTTAAACAAAAGCATTTCATCACACAACCCGAAACCAGAACAAGCTCTGTCCAACCAGCACTCACTATAACATCCTCCACCATATTGCCAAACAAATCTCACCATGAAGGCCTCAATCATCCTCGCATCCGCTGCTACTCTCTTCGCCTCCGCTCTCGCAGCTCCATTCATCGCCCGCAACGCACCTCTCATCTTCACCGTTCAGCTCGCCAACGAACAGAGCGGTAAGAACGCCAACCGCGATGTCATCGTTGGCAAAGACGCTGTAACCTTCGGTCAGCTCTTCGGTGATGCCTTCGGGCCCCAGGTTCTCGCCACTTCGCTCCAGGCTGTTACCCCGGGTGCTGGCGGAAACAACGTCGAATGCGAGGTCAAGCACCCCAATTACCCTGGACAAACCTTCGCGCTTAATGCAACGAACACATTTATCGACCTTGACGGGAAATTTAACGCTGCTATTCCGACCGACGTTACATCGTTCACCATCGAGTGCAAGGTCTAAACGTCCTCTCGTATACCGCTTAGCAGTACACCGGCGCCGTTTGACGGGGCATACGAAGCGAGGTGTCCAGCGAAAACTTTCCTTTCTTTGTTTGATGTATTTGGAAAGTGATTTGGGTAGATTATCTTGGTGTTTAACAGTGGTGTATACATTCCTTCGTCTGTGTTATGGGAAGTAGCAAAGCTTCAATAGCTAATATCACTCGTTTGTGGAGGCACAACGTGGCTCACGCTGACGCACCTTCAAAACAGCGTTGCTGCATACACACGCATGGTCGAGTATGCTGAAGACAGGAAACTAGGTGACACAAGACCCAAAGTTGAGCAAACATACAAAGTCTCATTCAGACCGTCGTACTTCACTATCACAACGCTATGCCAAAAAGACCAAAGCCCAAGAACGCCTTCCATGCTCTAAGCACATTTTGCCTCACCTACTTGGGCCACGCCCTCTCCCTCTGCCCCGTCCTCCTCTAGCAGCCTTGTAAGGCCTCGGCACGGGTGATCCATCACGCGTTCTCTTCTCACCGATACGTGACGAGTATCTTTCCTCTCTCTTCATGTTTTCGCAAGCTTCTTCCTGTTCACGGGTCCCCGTAGAATGATTGTGGACCTCACACCACTGCTGCCGTACTGCCCCATCGCCTCCCGTGGTAAATGGATCGCGAACGTAGCAAATCCCGAAGAGAAGTTTGGCGACTGCGCGGACCCTTGACTTGACACTTGGGTGCGTGTTCATGAACATGTCCCAACTGCCATAGTGCTGCGTTCCCCAGAGGAAACTGTATAGTATCACTATCCAGCGACAAAGTGGGGCATGCGTTGGGAGGTACTCAAAAGCGCGGACGACGTTTTCTATGCTAGGCAGCTCTCCGGTCTCGTGGTAGTTCGTGTTCTGGAAGCGAAGCAAAACAGTATAAGCCGAGTGGTACTCCTTACGCAGATACGTGACTATGTAAAGAGTGAAGAGGTTCTGGTAGTATTGGTCGAGAGTTAAGCGGTGTTTGCCAAACGGCTCGACCCTGCCGTGTTTATCCAAGAGGCTGTACATCGCAAAGATGACGGATTTGACCTTGGGGTTACTGTAATCTTGAAAGAGATTGATCTGCTCAGCGAAGTCCATCATATCCAGGCCAGGATCCCCGCTTATTGGAGTATGACCGTTATTCTCTTCATCGTTGAACCGCCTTCCATTGGCCGCCGTCATTCTCGATACTAGCGATCCTGGTGTGGCGTTCATCAATGGTGGCGTATCTACCGTTTCACCTCGGTGATGGATGTTCCGTGTATCGAGCCTGAGTGCCGCTGGTCCTGTTGGTGTGCTCGGAGGGGGTTTTACGGCGGCGGGAAGGTCGCAATGTTGATGCCTGAGCCGGCAGTTTTGGCAAGTGTGACCGAAATCTATGTGGGCTAGGTTCCCAAGCTGCGGCAAGTAGACTCTGCACTGATGGCCATATTCCGCACACTGACTGCATCCTCCACCGTCAGCCGCCTTGCCATGGTAATGTTGAATCGCTCGCGCATGAGCGATTTCAAACTTCCGCGCGTAAGTCAGACGATCCCAATCGCCTACTGGATAGTGATAACCAAATTCATCATCGGAGGGCGGATCCAAGACGTATGCGGCAAAGTCTTCGATGTGCTTGACCGGGTCTGGTCTAGATGGCGTTGCGGCGTCGCTATCCGTCATCCGCCTTGCGCGCTTTCTGGATATATTTGGGCCGGGCTTCAATTCCATCAGCGCCCACGGGTATGTCTTTCGGATACTGCTTTCCAGCTCAGGATTCTCGCTAATTTCAGTCTCTTCAACCTCGATGATCATTTGCTTGACTCCTCTGGGCTTCTCTGTCGCATGAGCCTCACGAGCTCTGTCCTCTTCGGCTTTGGTTTTGGGTGTTACTATAGTGACGCCGGGGTAGTCGTCTTGTAACCGTTGGCGCAACTCTGTTGTCAGATCTTCTTCGCTTACAGTGAAGCTGACGTCTTTGACACACGGCGGGATGCTGGACTTCCTGAATGTCTCCCATGACGGAGTCTGGAGTCCATTATCCGGCTCAGGGAGGTCAGCAGCAGTATCCTGCGTCTGTGAGCCCAGAACAGAGTCGCGGTCATCGATGTGAACACCTTCGTCAACTTCGGCCAAGTCTTTCTTGCGCTGATCAGGCTCCTTTGCCAACTCCTTCAAAAACGCGGCCGAAGCGGCAACAAAGTCCAACACCATATTCTCCGGGCTGACGTCACAGCTTCCCAGCGAATCTCCATTCTCGTCTCTAAGCTGAAGTTCCAGCTTTTGATATCTGAACATGTTAGTTCTGGGGTAGGAAATGTGATGGGTATACCCACAATCTTGGCTGCTCGCTAGGCGCATTGCTATGCTCGACAGCGCGAATGGCGCGTAGGATTTCGCACTCTTTCGCCGTCAAAGCGAACTGATAGGTTGGCTCATTCACGGCCATGCTGAAAGACAGCGGGCCCTAAGGTGGGGTTGATGTTGATCCCTGGATGTTGCTTGTCTTAGACTTTGTTGTGCCTAGACGTTGCTTGTTTTAGATTCAGTTGAGTCCTTGATGGACCGCGAAAAATCGTTCTCGCACAACCGAGACCCAACGTGGGGTACGGAGGACCACAATCTGGTCTGCACGAGACACTGAAATTGCCAGTGTAAAACAATGTCTTGTACAGGCCATCAAACCGTCGGATGTTCCTCGGGCGGTAGAGACGAGTATGTATCGGCAAGTCGCGTCTCTAGGTGCCCGTGGTTGCTTCTGCTGTCTTCCCGCGCCAATCAGGAAGTTTCCTGGACAATCGGTCGTTGACGGAAAAATAATGCTGCATCAGACAGGCGCAAGCTGATGGAGATCT